ATGTGAATTGGAGCTATAGAAATAAACTGAATTGAATTGAATTGAAAAGGCCTCATAAATTATGTAGTTAATCTAGAGCCCCATTTTCACTAGCCTTTTGAAACCCTGTTGAGAATGGTCCAAGCATGGTAACCAAGGTAACTGTTGAGTGTAAATGGAAAGCAAGCGAACTAGACTGTGCCAGAAAAAACTGAACCGCACTAAATCTAGTATTAGTTCAAAAGTAGGGCACTGGAAAAAATTGAAATCTAGATAAGTCATTTGTTCTTAAAATAAGTGCATTTGTTCTTGAATTGAGGAGGTAAAAGAGAAATTTTGACAGTGGAACAAGATAATTTACACTTAAAATAAGAAAACTCAACTGCATTGTCCTTTTTCAACTGCATACTATCTAATTATCTTAATTTAAGAGTTAAAAAATTCATTCCATTGGCAAACTACCTCATTTACCTACTCAAATTAAGGGCAAATACACCTAATTTAGGAAATTTTTACTTATTTCCAGATTGTTTTTCCAGTGGGCTCTGCACAGTTGATCCGTTAATAATAAAGAGCGCATAAGCAGACCAAGTCATCTCCTATTTACAGTCAGCTGACTTATTTCCTGGGTTTTCTGCTGTGTTCAGTTTTGCAATTCACAGATTTCTCCACCTGTTCACAGCACAAACTTCTTCTCCCCTTCTTAATAAATGGCATCAAAAGAGCGTGGTATGACCTGGGATGATGCCGAGACAGAGGCTCCCATTAAAATTTTGGCAGAGGACGCTATCTAATCAGATAAGTTCCTGAATGTAATGGGCACAGACATCTTTGTTTGTGTAATTCCCGCCTTGAGAGCTGGGGTTTGATGGGCTTCCGATAGGAGGCGATGAACCGTGCTAGCGTGATGTGTAAATGGTCGTAAGAACCAAACTCGGTCCGAACTCGGCATGGATCGGTTTCAGAGAAGTAGTGGGAATGGGGGATCCGATTTACCAGAGCACTTTAATTAGACTGATGGGTATCCTGGTTTCTTTTAAGATTTTTCAGATATGGTGGGATTGCCTTCGAGTCAATGAGTTGATGCAATCAGCTGGTTAGATAGAAAACTTTGAATCAATCTGACTGGATGATCTGGTGAACTGGAAAGTGACCTGAGATGACATGTGTTGTAAATTGGCGCTATAGAAATAAACTGAATTGAATTCATTCTTTTCACACTCTTATCTGGAAGCAGCCGCCATTTTTAAGACTGCAGGAAGATAGGAGGAGCTAGCTGAAGAGAATCAAGCCCCTGGGTCATAGACGGACAGTTCTAAATGCACCAAGGCTTTTACTTTACTGCTTTGTGTTTTGAAACAACTATCTCTTTATTAATATTTTTAATATTTTTTTTTTTATTAGCTCACTCAGTCTGTTAATCTTTCTCTTCATCCTCTGGCATGGGAGCTGCTTTGGAGCTCGTCTGCCTGGCTGTGTGTTTCCTGGCTGGGCCGCCTTTTACAGCTGCTTTTTGTGTCTCTGCTTCTGTCTCCTTGAACCCCAGT